TTCAGTGAAAAGCCTTACGTGAGTGGGAGCTGTTTGTATAGCCATAGATCTTTGAGTAGTTTGCCTCCCCAACATTTTGGGAGCTCAGGATGCTCCTTTTATTGCACTAACAAACACCTATGTACCCCTCATCTGCATTACAAATTGAAATAAATGATGGGGTACTGTGCACCCCTGGCTTGTCACCAGGTAGAACATACCCAGTTGCTACTAAAGCTACCACCTGTGGATACAGTAGGTTTTCATGGTACCTGTAGATGGGGCCTGCTAGGGCTGATCAGTAGCCTCAAGGAAATTTCCCCAGATCCCTTCTTTGGTTGTGCTCTTATTCATAGCAATGTGGCCAAGATTCTTATCATTTGCTCCACAACTATGGATGCTTTGCTGGACCAGTTCAGGTGCATTGTGGAAGCTTATTCTGTATTTAAGATATTACTCCACTTTTATTGGAAGAAAACAAAACTTCTCTCTGGGTGACCTATGTATACTGCAGTTTTTATAATTACCACAATGGCAGGGTCTGCATTCCCTTAGATGTGAATTTCCATGTTGTTGCAGGGTGTCCATAATCTTACTTGCATCTTAGGGCAGTGTTAGCTGGGAATAGGCTTTGCTTGGTCTTAAATTATATTTAAAACATAACAGACTACATGTAACAATACCCCTGTACAAGAAACCACTTGCTAAATAGTGCTACTATGCTGTTACAATCAATGGGCAGATGTTTTTTTTTTATGTGCTATTTGTGTGGGGGGTTAAAAAGCAGTAAAAACTGCATCACTTTAAATCATATGGAACTCTTCACACCAGTGCAGGTTTAAGAGTCAAGCTGCATGTTTAAGAAGTGCACTAAACTGCTTAGTAAAACTCTGCCCATGTTTAACAGGCGCATGTTTGGAGTCAGGCAACCAGGAAAATGTCGATTTTTTTACAATGGAGCAGTGTGAAAGGGCCTTTTAATGAGTTCATAAAGTTCGCACCCCAATGATAATTCTATCACTACTCACCCCAAAACCTGGAATTGAACAGTGCTTTATAGCCCCCCCCCTTTGCAGTACTTCAGGTTGGTGTATTGCAGAGCACCAATGACAAGTGTTGTGATGCACTGGAGCACAGGCACATCAATGGTCACTGTGGCCCCCCCCCACACTACCCTCATGTAGAGAGAAGAGCCTCAACCTTTATCCCCATCAAGTAGATTACCTCAGTGCAGAACTTCCTTATGCTGTGCCCACCAGAAAAAGGTGGTGTGTGGCTGGACTAAGGGGGAGTCCATCACCAGGGCTACCCCACCACCAAGCATCATGTTGCCTTGGGGGTTAACTAGAGTAAGGCCTTAAAAGCAAGTCTTCTCAACTCTCCTCCTGTGATATTTATTGCCTTTGTGGTCCTGCAGTAGGCCACACAGGATGGAGCAAGCTGCCCTCCAGAAGAAAATGACCTGCTTGGACCACAAGTCAGTTTTTCTTCTGCATCAGATTAGTACCTGTTCCCTTGCTGGGTCCAGACCCTTGCCCTACACCTTGGGCTTGAGCCTTGCTGTGCCACTGGCTCCTGTCAAATGCTCTGAGGAGGCAATGCTTCCAGACAGCCTGGTTTAGGCCTGTATATGTGGCCCTGTATCTGTTTACTGGGGGGGGGGGGGGGGCACAGAGTAAAAGTAGAGTGTTGTAAGGAGACCCCCCCCCAGAAGATGTCTGTGGGGGCTGCTCTGTGCAATACTATTGCACAGGGCAGACTAGCATTAAAAAAAAAAAAAAAATGCTCCAAGTGTTAGTAAACCCAGGACCCTGCAATCATTAGCTCTGGTCCTCCCACAGTAAATGCAATTATTTTAATATAAACTGTTAAACACCTTCTCTTCAGCAGCATAGAAAGTCTTGTGACTCAGTGTCCAGTCAAGCACTGGTTAAAGCTTGAGCATTTTCAGGTTGCAGGACCCCTGACCCTCTATCTAGACAGCACTCATTGGCCCTGTGCCAAGCACATGCACTCTAAGAAAACCTCCAGCAACACACCAAACTGAGCATGTTCAGGGTATATCTCCTGATAGGAGATGTGGAAAGAGGAGGCACTGGAAGGTGATCAAAGACAGGCTCAAACAGCCTTTACACAATGCAGGATTAACCCAGCCTCTCAACCAGGGTGCTTTGGCAAAATGTCAGTTTCACCAAAAAAAAAAACCCACACACAAAAACACACACTAGGGAGTGGAAGAAGCCTGACTTTGTGCACAAAAACCCTCAGGCTTTGTGCAAATATTACAACCTACCAGTCATGACATTAATTGGAGGATGTCAGTTGCCTGCACAGCATCCTTGTTTGACCCTCTCCTTTCCTGCTGGGGTCACATTAGCTCAGTGATGGCATAAAACACTTTTTCACACTGGTCCTAATATATTTGATTTGGAAGCATAGGGCCTGTCCACTTTAGACGGGGGTGCCCCGGGCCTGTCCACTTTAGACGGGGGTGCCCCGGGCCTGTCCACTTTAGACGGGGGTGCCCCGGGCCTGTCCACTTTAGACGGGGGTGCCCCGGGCCTGTCCACTTTAGACGGGGGTGCCCCGGGCCTGTCCACTTTAGACGGGGGTGCCCCGGGCCTGTCCACTTTAGACGGGGGTGCCCCGGGCCTGTCCACTTTAGACGGGGGTGCCCCGGGCCTGTCCACTTTAGACGGGGGTGCCCCGGGCCTGTCCACTTTAGACGGGGGTGCCCCGGGCCTGTCCACTTTAGACGGGGGTGCCCCGGGCCTGTCCACTTTAGACGGGGGTGCCCCGGGCCTGTCCACTTTAGACGGGGGTGCCCCGGGCCTGTCCACTTTAGACGGGGGTGCCCCGGGCCTGTCCACTTTAGACGGGGGTGCCCCGGGCCTGTCCACTTTAGACGGGGGTGCCCCGGGCCTGTCCACTTTAGACGGGGGTGCCCCGGGCCTGTCCACTTTAGACGGGGGTGCCCCGGGCCTGTCCACTTTAGACGGGGGTGCCCCGGGCCTGTCCACTTTAGACGGGGGTGCCCCGGGCCTGTCCACTTTAGACGGGGGTGCCCCGGGCCTGTCCACTTTAGACGGGGGTGCCCCGGGCCTGTCCACTTTAGACGGGGGCCTTGACTGAAATAGGCAGAACACTGGATTAACCCACAATGAGTATAACAGGCATGCTTTACTGCATATACAGACTGATTTTACTGTTGTGGGTTTAGTAAAACTAAAACTACAGCATTGAGCTGGTGTACAGGGCATTATGCCAGTGCTGGGAAACTCATGCATGAGATGTACTGTAGCCCTGGCCTCTTGTCTACCAGCTAGGATATAATCTAATGTAAGCAAGGGGTAGGGATACAGGTGATGTTACCCAGCTTTTGGGAAATACTTCTGAGTAAACACCCAAGAGACTAGTTCCCATCAGGTCCACTATTTGATTACAGCACAGCAGTAGGCAGACTAAAAAGCCAACATCAGCCCTCTATCCCAGAGAAGTAAAGCAGATGTAAGGGGGCACTAGCCTCCCTACACCACCCCTAAAATAGAAAACTCCATCCATGCAACTCTCAATGTGCCAGGCCCAGTGACTGCATGAATGAGTTTCCAGTATGGACACAGACCTCTGAGCAGGCACCAGATTCACATACCCATCTGACAGGCACAAGAACCTAAACTCAGGTCCACACCCCGATAATGCTACTTCCAAAAAGCCTTACAGTATTCATGTTAAGATTTTGAACGACACTGTTACAATGTGAACTTGCTTAGAGGAAATGCTCTTGTGGCCCTTTGTTTAGATTCTCATTTAATAATCAGTCAAGACACATGTTTCAAAGGAGACCCTAATACTTTATTCATGAAATCTCAAAATTTTTACCAGAACCAGACACATGGAATAAAAAAAAATTGGAGGTGCTTTGTGGAACTTGACTCAGTCTGAGCCCACCACAGGACAGTTGTAAACCACCAGTTTCTCTGTACAACACTGGCATAGCATTATCCTGCAGGGGGCCCTCTAACCAAGAGAAGCTTACACATGATACAAGCCAGGACCTCTGCAATGTGCAGCCAAGGATTTTCTGTACTACACCTCAGCATGCCAGAGGTTACTGGTTGTGTGGATATCAGAACCAATACAACAGCATAAAGTGTACCAAAAATAAAAATGTTGCCTGTGACATGGGCTACTCTGTATTTACGCCTTGTCTGGCAACACAATAAATAAAAGCAGTTACACATCCATTTTTTCAAGTAAGATCCTCAACTCTCCCTGCCCCCTGCCAGTTGTGCCTCAACTCGCATTGCACTGGTTTCTCTGTAGCCACACCAGACAACTGCAGAGGGGGAATAAATAAAACAGACATGGCACTGGCTTGCAGCTTTTACATACTGGGCAGGGAGATTTGTGCAGTGTGGCTGAATGAAAAGGGAAACTATAAAAAAAGCCATACAAAAAAAAAAAAAAAAAAAAAAAAGTGAGTCTACAGGCACCAGGAATATTTGTAACCATTAGAGGCCACTTTCCTTCAAATTGGGAAGGTGTGCACTGCATTAACAGTGATAGAAATTCTGAGTGTATGGTTTTGGCAAAGTGCTGATTTTATGCATAGGGAAAATTTAAGTGCACGCAGGGCATGCCTAGGGAGGTGGGTACCTATAGGTTACATGAAAGCACTCAGGACCCAAACACTCATGTCCTGTACAATCAATACCACAGGGAGGTTACACAGTGGCAGATCTGGAACTATGCCAGGGATAAAAATACTTGGTCATGGAGATAACTTAAGGCTATTGACAGAAAAGCCTCAACTGCTAGAAGCACCAAATAGACAGGAAAGGATGTAGGTGATAAAACAGCTAATATGGTCCCCTCTCCACAAGCACAGCATGGCACTGGAGACTATACAGTGAGCCAATAGATTAACAGGAAAGGTTAAAAAGGGGCCTTTTCCCACCTTACAAGCCTGCAGGCTTCTCTGTATGCAACGCCAGCAAGTCAAAGGGGGAAAAGCCTAACAATCAGTACTCCAGCTTTTTGGGAACTTCCCAGGGGAAGCTTTCCCTACCAAAATGACCATAGGCTGCAGTCCTCTGATAAATTGCCTTCTTCAGCTCCAGATCCCTGGAATATACAAGTTCATTTGTTAATACAAGAGTATGGAAATTAGCATGTTGTGTGGTGTGAAGTCTCAACTATGGGAAGAACCTGGCCAATGGTTCTGTACAGGGCACTTACCCCAGCGATGTCCAGGACACTATACTTACCACTTCAGATTGCCATGGCCCACCAGTGGACCAAAACTTCCATCTTCTCATCTCGGTCTAGTTATCACACGACAAGCCCTTTTACTTTACACTACAAGGACATCTACCTTTATGTGTCATGACTCCTCCCTCCCACTTGTTAAAACTATGGTCACCAACTTTACCTGACAATGACACCAGGGCGGAGGTCAAAGTTCTTGTTCACAATAGTCAGAAGCTCCCTCTCACTCTTCTGTGAGGTTCCGTAGTGGAAGATTGAGATAGACAGAGGATGTGAAACACCAATAGCATAAGAAACCTAAAAGAAACAAAAAAGTGCCATCTGGGGTGACTGACAGCTTAACAGCTTGTTCTCCACCCCCCAAAACTGCTTGTTAATCTACCATGTCCATCAGGTACTTCAGTTAATGCAAAGGTTAACATACCTGGACAAGCACACGACGGCAAAGGCCAGCCTTTACCAGGGACTTTGCAACCCAACGAGCAGCATAAGCAGCAGATCTATCCACCTTTGTGTAGTCTTTGCCAGAAAAGGCTCCACCACCATGGGCACCCCAACCACCATAAGTGTCCACAATAATTTTGCGTCCAGTCAAGCCAGCATCACCCTAAAAACAGTCAGATGTCAGCATTAATACATGGGACAAAGTTGCAAACAAGACTACAGTATTAACAAAAAAAAAAAAAAAAAAAAAAACAACTCAGTCTTACCTGTGGACCACCAATTACAAACCGCCCACTTGGTTGCAGATGGTAGATTGTATCATCATCCAAGTACTTGGCAGGGATCACAGCCTTGACAACCTTCTCCTTCAGTGAATCACGCATCTCATCCAGGCAGATTCCATCATCATGCTGAACAGACACTACAACTGTATGCACTCTGATTGGGATCACAGCTCCACGGTCCTGCATATACTGGACTGTAACCTGCCAAATTAAAGTTTCATACCAATGTTTATACTGCCAACAAAAAAACCCTTTTAGATTACTATTTTCAGCTTGCTCACTTGAGTCTTGGAGTCTGGGCGAAGCCATGGTAGAGTCCCATTGCGACGCAGCTCAGCCATCTTTGCATTCAATTTGTGTGCCAACACTATTGTAAGAGGCATACACTCTTCAGTTTCATCAGAAGCATAGCCAAACATCAAGCCCTAAAGTAAAAATACAATTCATTAAGATGAAAGGCAATACTGGTAACACTGGCTGTTCAGTACTAAGGGCCTAGGTTGAAGTCTCACTGTTCAAACCAGTACAGATCTTAAACATGGTTACCATTAAGCAACACTGGCAGTAATTTAAGTACAACCACTGTCATAAAATTCTTAAACTGAATTATTAATTCTCACCTGGTCACCAGCTCCCACATCCTCTTCATTCCTGTCCAAGTGAACACCCTGGGCAATGTCAGGAGACTGTTGTTCAAGTGCAACCAACACATTGCAGGTCTTGTAGTCAAAACCTGAATAAATGACAGCAGATTACAAATACTATAACACTAATAAGCTAGTTAAAAGGTTTTGAGCGCCTCAATTCAGCACTCACCTTTGGAAGAATCATCATAGCCAATATGTTTGATTGTGTCCCGCACAACCTTCTGGTAATCCACTACAGCACGAGAAGTGATTTCACCGGCTAGGAGAATCATGCCAGTCTTTGCCACAGTTTCTGTAGGTGAAACATGTACTGTGGTTAAGACAGCGGTTACAGTTTATCCTCCCAAACATTTAACTGATCAAGATGACTTACCACAAGCTACTTTTGCATCTGGATCTTGCTTGAGGTGGGCATCAAGGACTGCATCACTGATTTGGTCACAAATTTTGTCTGTGGAGAACATTCATATTAATTCAGACATCAGAACTACAATTAACAAATGTAGATTGTAGCATCATCTATCCTTGTGACTGATTAATATCTATTCAGTCTGAAAGGTGACAAGATTAGTGCTATAAATGGATTCCAGCTCACAGCTGCCTCTTCATGAACTGCTTACTGTAGTGAGTGTAATACAATGCCGACATCCGATCGCCATGCAATACCTCAGTGTTTTTTGCTCTGACCACCTGTAAGGATATTTTTCCATCTCTTAATATACAGCCTAGTAGTCACTGCAATGCTGGAATTGCACAAGTAGTGCACTTCATTGGAAGTAAATACAAGAATAGGGAAACCACTGTCAAGGAACCATTAGGGCTTCACATCAGACATACCCCCCTGTATTCTCTGCATACTGCCTGGACTTTGAATGGGACATACCCTGAAAGCTTGTCCTCAAAATTGTATGTTAGTGGAAATAAAAAGATATCACATCAGTACTCAATTGTTTCTGCTGCCTTCTAAGAAACTCAATCCAACTACAACCCAGAGCTGCTGCTAAATGTAGAAGCAGGGAAATACGCAATCAACACTGCAGCTGTCCAAAGCATGCCTCTGACCTGAAACCTGATCCATCTTCAAGACACTCAGCCATTGGGCCAATCCATCCAACACCCACCAAGAGGAGGCAGGGCCTGAGCAGTCACAGGATCCATCCCAAGACTACGCACAAGGATATTCAGCAGGCTTCCCCATGTCATAGCTTATGGAGGGGCAGCCAATCTGAAGCCTTTACTACAATCCTTGTGGACACACCTCTATTATCACAATCTAATATCAGAAATTACTGAGTGTTTATCTGCAAACAACTCCCTCCTCACATACAAATAAAGACCAAACAGTAAAATCCTATTGCCTTGTATGTCACCCAGAAACACTATACAATCACTGCTAAACCAAGGACAAACCTAAGCAATCTAATCCGTGTTCAATCAGGCAGACTCCTGTGCTACTTGGTTAAAGGCGAATGTACAGATTGTAAAAATATGGTCACCTTAGGCTAGCCACACTATACAATCTGTACCACACTATACAATCTGTACCACACTATACAATCTGTACCACACTATACAATCTGACTGCACAATCTCCTTTAGATCTACCGTCATTTATGTTGATCAAGATCCATCATGACTGGATACTTGACCAGGTTGCCTAGGTTCATCCTCCCATCAATGCCTACAAGCCATTCATGTTTAATACTAACAGCGTTTAATGCTTCAAGTGTTAATGTCTTAAAGAAAAAAAAAATCTGAAACTGGTGTCAATATTCATATGTTTACCCATTTTCAGCCCAGTCACATGATCACCTCCCCAGGTTAATTGGCAGTGGTTATAGTAGAAGGTACACTGAAATGATGGCTCAGAAGCCTATGGGTGACGTCACTTCTCAGGCATTCGTCATATTTGAGTGTGCACACCACCACTGGCAGACATGGGGGAGCCAGATCTCATGACCGTGAGAACATAAGCCTATATAGCCTTCAACCGCTGTTCATACATGAATTACTCTTTTCAGCCATCAGGCTGGCCAAGAAAAAAAAAAAAAAAAACGAGTAATGACTCCAGGGACACGCAATGTACAGCCATGCACTGAGATTAGAAGAGGCAACTGTACACCAGGGTGGTATATGGGCACCAATGTATGCTCTGTGTGAACACCCTGCATTCGCAGCATACATCAGGACACATTACTTTACACAACCCTGGTGTAGTTTCCTCCAATCTCAATAGACAGCTGTATGCAGTAGTAGCAGGACCCAGGAATGTTACAACCAGACTCCATGCAGATGTGTGCACATGGTGCAATAAAGGCACATTTCCCCTCATGGGAGCGCACTGCCCTTGTTAGACACACCGGTGTCTAGATAACATCGCTTCAAATAAAATCTTGCAACAGACTCACAACCACTAAAGTCCCCGGTAAGGTGGTACCATGCAGTTTGGTGCAATAAGACTTTAAAAAGTTGCACCTGCCCTGCTCTTTGCACACTCAGCAGCCCAAAGAAATGGAATAGGCAGGCAAAGTCTTGCTCAGGTGTTAACAGTCCCTTACTGTACTAGTACAGGGCAGCCTACTTCTGACAGATCCAATCCATGACAGCTTATATACAGAATACGACTGTACACAGGATTCCACATTAGGAGGATAAGATCTGTGCTGGGGGACCCTCATTTAGGTGAGCAGGACCTGCGCTAGGACCTCATTTGATTAGAACAGTGCTGGGATTAGGATGCCCGATTAGCCAAAGATTTGTGCTGGGACTAGAACCTCCCATTAGGTGACCAGGACCCACACCAGGTGCCCCCTCCTCCCATTAGGTGACCAGGACCTGTGCCAGGTGCACCCAACCCATTAAGTGGCCAGAACCTGCAATGGGTGCCCCCCTCCTCCCATTAGGTGGCCAGGACCTGCACTGGGTGCCCCCGACCCTTTAAGTGGCCAGAACCTGCACTGGGTGCCCCCATCCTGCCCCCCCATTTGGTGACCAGGACCTGCAATGGGTGCCCCCATCATTTGGGTGACCAAGTCCTGCGCTGGGGGCCCCCTTCCCATTAAGCGGCCAGAACCTGTGCTGGGAGTGTGCCCTTAGCAGAACCACCATCACACTGCACTCACAGGCGGGGTCGCCCCACACACCACGTGCTCGGCCAGAGCTGCATTGCGGCGGCGGCGCGCACCGGCCTGATCGCGTTCACGGCCACCGAAGAGGGAGCAGCGCTGAGTCCGCTCCTGTCACATTAGAATGAGTCATCCAAACTCCTACCTCCCCCAACTGACCCCCGCCATGAACTCACCAGGGTGCCCTTCGCCGACGGATTCGGAGGTAAAAAGGAAGCTGCCCTCGTCGATGAGAGCATCGTGAAACCCATTGAGCAGCTGTCCGTTCATTGTGCTGATTGGTATTACTGAGCTACGCTGCAAACACCGACCCTTTACCGTCTAATGGTCCTCACCGATTGGAATGCAGAAATGGCGCCAGTGACTCCGCTTTTATACCCTGCCTTACCGACGTCACGGATCCCGCGCGACCTCGCCGGACCACTCCCAGCCCCCAACCGACTACGACGTCACCGCTGGGGAGAGTGGGCCGGGCTAAAAGTAGAATGTACTACAGGTTGTATTGTAGGGGGTGGTAGAACGGTATGAACTCACCCAGAGGAGATGGAAGAAAATATAAGCCTTACACCAAACATCTTTTGTAGCGGGAAGTCTATGTGAGCTGACAGGTGTGTAACATGGGAGGGAATTGCAGTCAGATTATGTCCTGTGGTACAGTCCAAGGAGATGGACTGGGAGATGGTGGGCGGAGCCTATTTATTCCTGTCTGAGAGGGAAAGAGGAGACCTGAGGGAGGCAGGGACTGGGGAGAGGGGAGTAGTGCAGCTGTTCTGCTCATCATTTGCTCCTCCTCCTCATGTCACAAAGTGTAACACATGGGTCATGTAACAGCAGAATGTACAGTTGTGATAGCAATGTTATATATTATCATTTTCTTACAGCTCACAGCAGCCTTTTTAGCCCTGAGAAATCCTTGAAATACTGTTCAGGTGTCAGGGAACCCCTCCTATGAAGTATATCTACAGCTCACTGGTCATTAGTAAGATCCACAATTTATAGATGTAATAATAATACAGAATGTGGTGTACCTAAAATATATTAAATCCAAGGTGGAGCATTTTTACTACACCCTGCTCTATATCATGGAAACATTTGCTGTAATAATCACACTATAAAAATGAAAAAAATAATGTCTAGGAGAAAGACGTCCCTTATGTTGGTGGTTAGTGGAGAAATGGATCTTTATGTTTCCTTACACTGGTAGTCAATAGAAGAGATGCCCCCATATACTGGCGGTCAAAAGAAGAGATGCCCCGTACACTGTTGGTCAGCAGAAGAGATGCCCCATACACTGGTAGTCAATAGAAGAGATGCCCCCATAGATTGGTGGTCAGTAGAAGAGATGCCCCCATACATTGGGGTTTAGTAGGAGAGATGAACCCATATACTGGTGGTCAGTAGAAGAGATGCCCCCATATACTGGTGGTCAGTAGAAGAGATGCCCCCATACACTGTTGGTCAGTAGAAGAGATGCCCCCATATACTGGTGGTCAATAGAAGAGATGCCCCATACACTGTTGGTCAGTAGAAGAGATGCCCCCATATACTGGTGGTCAATAGAAGAGATGCCCCATACACTGGTGGTCAGTAGAAGAGATGCCCCTATACACTGTTGGTCAGTAGAAGAGATGCCCCATACACTGGTAGTCAATAGAAGAGATGCCCCCATACATTGGGGGTCAGTAGGAGAGATGAACCCATAAACTGTTGGTCAGTAGAAGAGATGCCCCCATAGACTGTTGCTCAGTAGAAGAGATGCCCCCATATACTGGTGGTCAATGGAAGAGATGTCCCCATACACTGGTGGTCAGTAGAAGAGATGCCCCCATATACTGGTGGTCAATAGAAGAGATGCCCCATACACTGGTGGTCAGTAGAAGAGATGCCCCCATAAACTGTTGGTCAGTAGAAGAGATGCCCCCATACACTGGTGGGCAGTAGAAAAGATGTTCCCATATACTATTGGTCAGTGGAAGAGATGTCCCTGTACACTAGTGGTCAGTGGAAGAGATGTCCCTTTACACTGGTGGTCAATGAAAAAGATGTTCCATTACTCTTGTGGTCAATGGAAGAGATGTCCCCATACACTGGTGGTCAGTAGAAGAGATGCCCCCATACACTGGTGGTCAATGGAAGAGATGTCCCGATACACTGGTGGTCAGTAGAAGAGATGCCCCCTTCACTGGAGGTCAATAGAAAATAAGTCCTTTTACACTGGTGGTCAGTGGAAGAAGTGTCCCCTGATTGCAAGAATTTTAATAAAGAAGAATTGTAAGAGATGTCCCCTTACATTGGTGGCCAACAGAAATGATGTCCCCTTACATTGGTGGTCAGAAGAATAAATATTCCCTTACATTGATAGTCAGTGGAAATGATGTCCCCTTATCATAGTGGTCATTAGAACAGATGTCCCCTTACAATAGTGTTGAGTGGAAGAGATGTCCCCTTACATTAATTGTCATTGGATAGAATGCACCAGTTGATTGGTGTTTAGTCCAAAGCACACTCTCTCCCCTTACTTGGTGGCCATTAGAGAAATTTCTGCTTGTAATGATGTTCAGTGAACGATCCTCTTGTTAGGGAGTCCCCTAACATGTTCAAAGGTAGAAGGGCATCTTTACATCATGGCCAGTGAGAGGAAGAATGCCGTTTACATTGGTGGTCAATGAAAGGATTGCCATCCCTACAGACAGCTAAAAAGATTCTTGGTGTAAAGCTGCTGGCTCCAATCAACAACCAGCCTCTGGAGGAATCCTGTTTGAGAATGCCTAGTTTAGAGGGACACTTTGGTTTTCTCAATGAAGCACAATTGTCTGTTGAATTGTCTGTTGAATGGTGTTAGTAACAGTAAGAAGGCCAGATGAGATTTAAAAAAACCAAATGCCAGGTGCCGAAAACATGGATATGATGTCAGTGCAGAAGATGAGATATAGCAGAAATTGTATCAGAATCTGAGGCTTTGAATGTATATGAAAGACAGTTGGCAAATGAATAATTCACTATTCTAGAATTCTGGAACACCACAAAAACACATTAAATGTTTTAGAACATTATGAATTCAAATTTAAATTTAAGGTGGAGCTAATGACTTTGATTTAACATTTTCCCAAAACAGTTTAAATTCAAGGCAAGCACACTTGCAACTGAATCCTCAAATCCTTTTGATGACCACAGCAATGCTTAAAGTGAAACTAAACCCATTGATTTAATATTTAAAAAAAACAGTTACATTCCAAACATACCTGCTGGGAATGTAACTGTCACTTTGGCTGTGCTTCCAACCAAACTGTCAAACCATCAAATGGTTGGAGTCATAACTGATCGCATGTCAGCATCATGGCAGTTGAAGTTCCAACAGAAGTCAAGATAGCAGTTTCCTTGGCTAAAAACGATAGAAAGGTTTAGTTCTGCTTTAAAAATGATGGTCCTAATGTGTTAATACATGGGTATTGATAAGCATTAAAAATGTTGCTTTGCTTTCTCATTTCCTTTGAAATCACTTGAAATGAATGCTTGCGAACTGCCATAGATTGCTATGAGAGGTGAAATCACTCTGAAAATATTGCATGTATGATCTTTTTTTTTTCATTAATCCTCATCAGAAATAAGAAACTTTTTGAATACAATGCTTTTCTCTTGTCCAAGCAGTTGGAGAAAAGCATTTAAAGATTAGCAATCACTTGAAAAAGGCCCAAGTCATTACTGTGTAGACCTCTGGACCCTAATCTCTGGCTTATAGCCTTTGCAAGCCCTAAGCTGGCCAAAAAGGGTTTTCTTTCCCCAGCTAGCGAGATGAACAACAACAACAACAACAACAACAACAACAAAAAATAAAATCTAACAGTCTTCTTCATCCACAAAAACAATATGGATGGAGGAATTCCCTCTGCCAGGACAGGTGTAGACCCCTGGACTCCATTCTCTGGCTGATGGCACTTTGGTACTTGCTGTGCAGACCTTTGCGAGCCTTATGTTGGCCAAACCAGCTAAGTTTTTTTTTTTTGTTCAGCTAGCAAGCTGATAAGAAAAAAATTAACTGATTCCTCCATCCACACAAATGAGGTGGACAGAACAACTCATCTGCCAGGACATTGAACTCTTACAACGGCACTGATAAGTGGCTGTACCTAACTGACTGCAGGTGCTGGCTGATGGAACATTTTCCAACATGTTGCTTTGACAGAAGTTGATTAAATAGTAGTGTTCTGTCAAGCTGGGGTAGCTCACACTCTGATGGAAGTTTAGCCAGTCCCTACTGAACCAGATTCATTTTGTTCAGTGTATGGCCAGGTATAGTACTGAAAGTTGGAGAATTGATTTGCAAAGGCATTGTAATGTCAGTGACCAGTCTTTGAATGTCTCCTGTAGTAGGTGTCCAGTCTCCCAAAACATCTTTAACATGTCTGCAGTCTCTGACCATCTCCTCTAAAGTGTCTACATTCTGAAATAATTTGTAGCATTACATATAATGAATATTATATTGTGTTCACTGATTTGTTTCTTTATTTATACCCTGTATGGATTTTCTGGATGACTTATCCTATGGTCCATAATATATAGCAGTATAAAATTCATAAGTGACTATATCTGTACATTAAGAACCTTAAACATCTCCAAGACGTGGGGCCCCAGGTTGCTCCCAATTTGGCCCTGTGGCCTATACAAGCCTAGAATTATCTGTAATACTGTTCATCGGATATCAGAATATCCAGTGCGGTCCAAAACGCAGCGATGTTTTCATTGAGAGGAACAATTACATTATGTTCTATGATGTTTATATTTTTTAGCTCTCATTTTATGTCAGCTCATGTTGTTATTTTATGATTTCCAAGAGTACGAGTCTAGGAACATGATCTGCCTAGGAGGCAGGGCCAGGACAAGGGGTGGGCAGAAGGGGCAGCTGCCATGGGCACTGTGGTATCATGTGACGTGGGGGGAAATTTGTGCTGGGTGGGGGAATTTGGGAGGCAGCAAGAGGTAAGAATTGTTGTAGAAAGAATAATGTGAGGGGGGGGGGGGGTGCTAGGAGTGGTGATTTAGGAGGATCTGTGTTGGGAAGGGGGATGGGGAAAAAGGATTTGTGTTAGGAGGGGGGATTTGTGCTAGAATAGGTGATATGAGGGAACTTGTGCTAGTAGGGGAAATTTTTGTTTTGGATGGGGGGTTGTGCTAGTAGGGATGATTGGGGGCATTTGTGCTAGGAGGGAAAATTTGGGGGGAAGATTTGTGCTAGGAGAGGGGAATGGGGGGAATTTGCACTGGAAGGGGGG